GGGGGGGGGGGGGGGGAGGGTATTTAATTTTTGATGCTCCTCCTGTTAAATTTTATCTCTTTTACAATACAGGGACAATGTTTTAATGGGTTGGTTTGGGTGATGACAGCTCCACCAGAAACTGCACAAACACATTCAAATCACTTTTTATGTAAGCCACCAAGTAGACAAATAGTTGTATATTTTGGTGCACTGTCTCAATGTGTTTGTTTTATTAAGTCAAATAAAGACAGTCTTGTATATTGAGCAATCCAGAGCCCTACAATTCTAGATCAAGGATGCTGACATCAGATGGAGTAGGCCTTTTGGCCTGGTGGTCTGGTTTGGAATTGCTAAGAATTACTATGACAGTTTTCATACTAGCTTATAGTAAAATGTTTATGCCTTTTTAATGAAACCAAAAGACTCCTGAATCCTGCTTCAAATGTTAGCATATTTAACTGTTCAACTAGTTTTTCGGGGGGCTATTTTCTCATTAATCCAGTTTACATAGTTCATCACTCGTGTATATACTCCAGGTCTGTTGACTCTGCCACAGCCATCTCCCCAGCTGATAACTCCATAGAGGTAAGAGATTTCATTTTTCTCACAGGCCAGAGGTCCACCAGAATCTCCCTGTGTTAAAAGTAAGCAAAGATTATCTAACTTGAAAAAAAAAAAAAAAAAAAAAAAAAAGATCAGTTTGTGAAAGTCCTAAATTAAGAATGTTTGCATGTGAGATTTAAACTAAAAAAAAAAAAAATATGGAAGCAGTGGTCTACTGAAGTTTGACTCTAAAAAGTGGGTTTAGTCATGCTCACCTCTAAGATAATGATGGGGGGTTTTAATTCCACATTGAACAGAAGTATCTAATTTTGTTTAAAAATCTGAAATTCTCTTAGATTTAGACACCTACTAACGAGCACAGTTGATTTGGGGCACTTTCAATGGGAGTAAGCAAGTCTGAGGCATATGCTATGTTGTAATATGGGCACTGCATGGATGGATTACATAAGGCAGAGAATATTTGGAGAGTTTCTCAATGCAGTTTATTGCAACTGTCAGAGATCATGAAAGTTTTCAAAGAAAGGTGTTGCATACATACACACTTTTCCATGTGACTGTGGGATGCTATAATTTTATGTGGCATGTGGTTTTTATGCATCTGTTGAATTTGATGCTACTGAGATTTACCTTGTCATTAAAACCATAAACCAAAAATAAGACCAAAATAATGTTGATGACACACTACAGCAAGGAGGCATTTGGAACCCTTCTACTTAGTTAAAAGCTTGCAAGCATTCTGGAGAGGGGCTTTTTTAATTATTACTCTTAGATTGACTTTCTACAGAAATGAAAATGTTAGAAATTAAAAATGTGACTTAGTGAACAGTACTGGTGAAAGGAGCCACCACTCCAGTTATCTAAGACTAAGGAGAAATATATTTTTTTCCTACCTAAAAAGAAAATCTCTCGAGAGCAAAGTAGGTAGAAAAATTGTGTTGCCTTTATACTGGTAGATTTCTGTGATAAATGAGGGACATCAAATGAAGACTTGCATCTGAGGTCAGTTTACTTCTCAGAACCTTGCTTATTTCTCTACAGCTCATCTCACTGATTGCAATTTTGGTATCAATGCACCGATTTTTAAAAAAATCCAAGAAAATCTTAAAAAAAATAATCAAGCAGAACACATTATCTGCTTGGCATTTCTTGGTCTTGAAATATTTTTATACATAACAGATGGTTTATATTTTAATTTCCTAAGCATATATTAAGAAAATTCAGAGGTCAGCTACATTTGTTGTGACATTAAGAGGCCTACATTATTTCTCCTTAGACCACACTACAAGTCTTCCAACAAGAAAAAAAAAAAAATTATTGATTCACTAATAATGATTTCAT